TATAAAGCTGTAAAAAGAATAGTTCCAATTGCAAATGATGTTTTTACACGAAAACTTTTGCTTAAATTGGACTGCAAACCCTTACAAGATTTGGTCAGCAAACGCAAAACATTATCCTAACAGAAATTACTAAAATTTTTTTATTATTTCCCGGTGGCAGTGTACGTTGTGAATGGCTATTTTAAAAAGTATGACATCTCTAATTATAACTGTTACGTATTTCTTGTTTACTCTCTTAACATTTTATCTACGTCATCACATTATTTACGGTAGCGGATCGTCAAGGTGAGTTTCCACTCTACGGGAAAAAATAATCACGTGAGCATTTACTTCGGACAAATTAAAACTTATAATACGCATGTGCTCGTGATTATTTTTCCTGTTCCCGTGAAAAAACAGATGAGTGGAAATTCATCTTTAAAGCGAAAAGTTACTTAAGCATAGTCATAATATACATAGTTCGGCCAGTTTAAGAGCGCTATTGTTTATCTTATTGTTAGCTTTTTTTTAGAACCCAGTCTACCAATGAGTGCACACTTTTTGTAAACAAATGCGCATTAAGAAGAATATTTTCAAGAAGATTATTGATTTAACCTTGATTTTTGCAAATGCCTCGTCTTAATTGTTACATATTTGGTTCTGGAACTTCTCGAAGAAGTATAAATCTTTTATATCTATTTTAAATATTTTCTTCCAATGATGATGTTTATAACAAAGAATCAAGAAGAAAAGTTTTACAAGTTATAAATAAAAATATATCTTTAGTTATAATATATTCTAACTAATGATAAAATATGATATCAAATAACTTTTTTGTTGGATCGACAGGTTTACTACCTTCAATAAATCAACCAGTTAAGAGCTTTTCATTGGCTAATCCTTCTTTAGGCAGAATATAGTAGTTTCTCATATTACTAAAGCTCAACTCAAAGAAATCAACTTTTTCTTCTGAAGAAGACAAAAGTCAATATTTAAATATTTACATTAAAAAAGATTAATGCTTAATACTGTTGTGTCTAACCTTATTTTATTATAAAAAAATATCAAAGCTATTTTGTGGCTATTTTACTAGCAACAAATCTTATAAAAACAATATTTGGTATATAATTAAATATAAAAATCTTCAATGCAAGAATATCACAAGATTAAATGGTTTATGCAAAGCACAAATATATATGTGTGTGTGTGTGTGTGTGTGTGTGTGTGTGTGTGTGTGTGTGTGTATATATATATATATAAATATATATATATATATATATATATATATATATATATATATATATATATATATATATATATATATATATATATACATTTCCCATTATTATTTGTGAATAGAAACAAAATTCATGAACTTATTTTTAGAACACACATGCGCACACACACACACACACACACACACACACATATATATATATATATATATATATATATATATATATATATATATATATATATATGTATGTATTTATTGTTGCAGTTATATCATGCACGTAATTGTAGTAATTGGGGTATCAAAAAGTGCATTGTCAATCTTTAAAAAAATCCATAGAGGCTATAAAATGACCTGTTGGTTGAAGTTATGTGAAGGAAAAGTGATGCAAAGAAGTCTTGATAATATTTCAAAATTTTATAAATAAAATCGCGAAAAAATTATTAAACTACTTAAGTAATTAAACAAATTGCTTTATTCATTACATTATACGATAATATTATTTAAAGTAAAAAATTACACAACTTTAATTGATTTTCACTTTATTATTGCATCTTTCAATCATACTAAAATACAGTTCAAATGCTAGAATGTTTTTAACAAATTTTTTGGTTATCAAAATAACCTTTATTAAATTTTTAATATTTATTTATTTTTATTTAAAAACCCTTTCTAGGTTTTTTTTTTTTTTTAATTCTTTTTGACTAACGTATTCTTCGATAAATAGTACTAAATACGTAACAATAAAAGCATTGAACTAAATTTTTTCATTTTTCTCTTTTTAAATATGATTAGCAAGTTTATATCCTACTAGAGGTGAGGATCTGTTAAAAAAATCTATTCTGATATGCAACTATAAATTTTGGATAAAAAACTTCAACTTCACTTTAAATAATTTTAATAACTTCATTTTATTAACTTAAATAATAGCTTCGTATCATCTTTTAAAATCATGTACTTTGAAAGCTCATCTCTGATATATGGAAGGCAGCAAAGATCGTTTTTAACAATAAGAATGTTTTTTAAAACAAAGTTGATGAATTTCTTTGTAGAACACGTTGCAGCAAAGATTGTTTGTAACAATAAGAATGTTTTTTTAAACAAAATTCATGAACTTATTTGTTGAACACGTTTGCTTAATATCAGTTTGTGTTTTAATTTGCTGAGTTAAAGAGAAACTATTTGAATCCTGCTTTCGTATGTAGCGTTTGAATTTATGCTTCGACTTTATCATACACTGGTGAAAATGAATTTGGTTTAAGCGTTTTTACACCCAATTTTAACGAAAAAAGAACTGAAATTATTGATAAACTTGAGTTTACAAAAAAATATATCTGATTCTAGATCTAATATGAAATAATCGAAGCACTGTTTATCTGTTGAGTTCGCCATTTTTTAGATTTTTGTGCACATATTGGTAGTCTGGGCACGATAAATAAACGATTTTCAAAGTTTTAACTTTTATTGTTTAAAAACGATAGAATATTGCGAAAACGGCCCAACTGGCCAGACTATCTTATATTATGACTACGGTTATTCTTAAAGTTTTTTTCTAATAGTTAAAACTTGCTAATAGAAACCAGTAACTTTTTTGCTTTTTTTTTTCATTTATTTATTTAACAACCCTGAACCTTATTTAGGCTCATTCCAGAGCTCTGTAATGAGACTTCTGTAAAGACTTCTGGGAGCACTTTAATAACTACAAAAAAAAAATTGTCCAGTTCTCGGAGCGGGCGTTCTCTCATTTTGTTTTAACATATGGAGACCACACGGGTAAAACCACAGATGTCCACTTTTTGAAAATTTTTATATATTTTTATGATATTTTAGTATTAAGCTATTTTAATTTAAAAATTCATAACAAAAAACTATGTTTTAAGGTTCTATGGTCATTTAAAAAAAAGGGCAATCAAAACAACCATTGTTGTTGTTGAAACAACAACTGTTGTCCAATGTTTACCGCGTAAAAAACACAGTTGTCCAAGTTATTTATAACTAAACCAATGATAATAAAAGCGTAAGTCACATGACTAACATTTCGGATGAAGTAAACAACATTAGGGATCGTCCATGAAATGCGTACGCTCGGAGAGGAAGTGGAGATCTGCAAATGGCGTTTCCGTAACTATACATATAGTTTATACAAACTTGATATAAAGTGATGGAACACAGACATCATGGAATCATCTGTGGTAAATAGATGAGGTTGAAGAAGAGATATGGTTGCAATGCTATTTTGTATAAAGTTAAAAAAAACTTTCATATAGTATATTGCTTGAATTTTTTTTATTAAATAAGGGAGGGGGATGTCTTTGTTATCACACACTTAGTTTAAGTACAATGTAGTTTAACTTCAGTGTGTTACCATCTACCTTTAAAAAAATAAGTGCTCTAAAAGGTTACAAGCTAACGTAACTTATGAATTGATGAGCTTACAACGGAAAAACCACATATGTCCAAAATGAGTGTCTTGTTTTCAAAAGAACACTGTGAATAATTAATTCTTGTATTTAACACAAAAACTGTATTTTTATATTGTGTAAGGACAAAAATGTCAGAAAAATATACTTTTAATTAAATAAATTAGTAATAAACAGATATCTTATGTCACTAAACACTAAATTTCATTTTTCTCAAAATGAGAAAAATGTGGCATCTGTGGTTTTACCGTGTGGTCTACATATGACATTAACATATGATGTTAAAAAATATAAAGCAAAAATAAATTACCTCATTTTTATGACAATTTATTTCATAAAAATAAATTATTCACATCTTTCGACTAAATCGACTTTTAGAAAATATATTAGTTGACAGTCGAATTATTTAATAATCGCAACAACACTATAACTAATGATTCTGATACAAGCATCTAATGATACTTGTATCAGAATCTTATCAGTTAAAAATGAAAAACTATGGTGTTATACTTTCAAACGTATTTTTTAAAAACTTTTGTATTCTCAATAGTATGAAAAAGAACCAAAACAAAAAACTTTTGAAACCTCGTGTTAATTAACAAAGATCAACAGCAACTGTTTTCTGTTAAAATGAAATAAAAATACTGCAAAAAATGATTAAAAAAAATAAATAATTAGTAATATTTTTTTCCTTAGCACGGCGAATAGGCCAGTTATAAAGTTTACACTATGAAACGAGCAAATGAATTACTATTTGAGGATGCCCATAAATTACGTCACGTTCTAGGAGGGGGAAGGAAAGTTGTTAGTGGCTTTGTAGACTCGTTACGATGGTGGTGGTGGTAAGAGGTCGAAAAAACGTGACGTAATTTATGGACTACCTCTTTTACCATTGCTAATTATCTAAAAAGGAAACTGATTCTAGGCCCTACAGTCATAGATATTAGTCTAAACCAAAAAGCTAACAAATGCTCGCTTTCGGATAATACCTTTATACCGGATTTGCTCCGAATTATTTGTTGCTACAGAAAAGGCTACATTTTGCAGGTATTTCAAATAAAAGAAATTATCTGATCTTTGAATTTTTAAGGCGTTAAACCCCTATCGTAGATTCAAGTCTTTTTAACGCATTGACCACGTTGATTTACCTACCCCGTTGGTAAGAAAAATACTATTTAGAATAATTTTAATTTAATAAGACATTTTTAGTTTACCACTATTTAAAATAATTTTAAAAAACAGTCTTTTAATAGCAAATTCAAATATCAAAAGTATTGTTTATAACATTCAAACACTAACTTGTTGTTTATATTTTGTTGACTGGAAGTTTTTAATTTCTATCTAGTAAAAATTTAAACAAAAAACAA